TTGCTTATTTGTGCATCTTTGTTTGACTCTTGTGTTGGATACCCTGACTGGGGACACCGGCAACCTCGGCATATCAGACGACACTCCAACCAACGGAGCTGAACGGCCAGCACAGAAAGTTTCTATGAGTTTAGATAAAAACGCACTCAGAGGAAAATTCATAGCCTACAATTTTCTTTTAATGAATAAATGGAGCATACGCCTCAGTACGCTGTGGAGTCCCTTTGAGCTGAGGGGGTTTTGATCTGTGGGCAGGCCTCTCCTATAGCCTCCCAGAAGGACCCACGGCCATTCTTGGTGACCATCTGGTCCCTCCCCACTGGACAGCTGGAATGTAGGGTGGGCAACTGTAGCAAACGCTAAGGGTTGCCTAGGTAACGTGGACTCTTCCACTCCTTTCCCACACGGGGGGGGGGGGGTCTCCTCCCTCACAAAAGGAGACACAGGCCACCTGTCCTTCCTCCTCCGGATGCGGCTGAAAGTGGCAGGACGGTGCTGGGGGGCCTCTGGCGCTGCCCAGGCCGGGGCCTGAGGAGCAGGTGAAAGGCTGTCCTTGCAGGGGAAGGGGTCCGCCTACAGCTCCACTCACCTGCAGCTCTGCTGGGATGGGGCCCGAGAGAGAGGCAGGGCCCATCCCTCCCCAGGGCCCAAGCACTCTCACCCACGGTCACTCACGGCCTTCCTGAGGCCGCCGCATCCTCGCCTGCCTCTGACACTGAGGGCTCACCTGGCCAGAGCTGTCACCTCCGCCTCCGCTCCGCCCTCCCCACAGCTCTCCTGTCCCCCCGCCCACCCCCAGCACAGCGTGACCGCTATCCTCTGGTGAGCATTACCTCCCCACAAACGGAACCCCAATACTCACTACTTCCCAGGCAGCGTTATTCTCCCATCAACACAGCTCCCCCCGCACACACACACACACCATTTCTCTCCTCCATTCCCTTCCCTACCTTCCCCATCACCACTCCAATCACCCATCTCTCAGGCCACCACCACCACCTCCTGTCCGGCCCCCAACCTTCACCCTAACCACCACCTAGGCCATTGCAACTGCCCTCGGCCCCACCTCCCCCACCCCACAGGCATTTCTTAGCGCTCCCATCTCCCTCCTGTCACCCTGTGCCTGTCACCACCCCCATCGCCCCACCACCTCCACCATCAGTGAACGAACCTTTATTGAGCACCAGCAAACCCCAGCCCCTCTACAGATGCACAGGAGGC